TTTAAAATAAATATATTATATTTTTCAGCCTTGTCCGTTATTGATTTCCTTTAAAATTATCCTGCCGAGAGACTAATCCACTGAACTATTGAATTGGCAGTTTGAGCCATAAGCTCACCCTTTGAATCCGAACAAATATATTAATTATACTTTCAACAATAAATACTGTCTGAGATCAGATTAAAAACCTTCTTATGATGGTGGGTGGAGGCTTGCTGGCAAGTGGAAGGGGCAATGCAATTATTCAATACTGTTCTTTGTGTTTGTAGTCGTTACTTTTATTAATGTAATAAGTAATGAGTAATTAATAATCTATTAATTATTAGAATGAGTGTATGATATCGTGAATATATTAGTGTTTCTTCAGTAGTAGTGGTGCCGATGAGTCTGTGCGTGTATTCTTGATGGCCTGAAGCGTGATTCCCCTTTTTCTTGGGTTTAGTAGTCGTGGTGGGGAACTCGTGGTGGTAGGAGAAGCAAGTTAGTGCCGTCTTGGCAGCCGGCGAAGGGGTGAGCTGTAGTGTACGAAGTGGTGGGAGAACGTCCATGTGACGTCACAGCTTGTGTCCGTGAGCTCCAAGGCAGTGGTGATGTTGGTGCACGTTCGTGTACTCAATGCGAGCATAACTCGCGGTGTACAGGTAATGGCAAGAAATAGCGTCGACGTTATTTACATGCGGGCGTAAATCGCGGTGTAAGGTACTATGCAAAAACGAACGTCGGCGTTGCATGCACGTGGTGGTGGGAACTGCGTGAAGTGGTAGCAGTAACTGCGTGGCGAGGTAATATGCAAGAACGAGAGTCGGCGTTACTTGCTCTCAGTGGCGGGAACTGTGTGATGAGCAGAGTGGCGATTGCATGGCGAGGTAATATGCAAGAACGAGAGTAGGCGCTACATCCACGTTATGACGGGAACTGTGTGATGAGCAGAGTGGCGATCGCGTGGCGAGGCAATGTACAAGAACGAGAACCGGCGTTACTTGCATGTGGTGGCGGAAACTGTGTGAAGAGGGAGCAGCAACCGCGTGGCGACATAATATACAAGAACGAGAGCCGGCGTTACTTGCATGCAGTGGCGGGAACTGCGTGATGAGCAGAGTGGCAGGAACCACGTGATGAGATAGTAAGAACGAGCGTCTGGTCGCATCTTACTTGAGTTGGCAGGAACCGATGAGAGTGTAAACCGCGAGTGTAGAGTAGTGTCGGTCGTGTTGTGATGGGTGCTTGTTACTAGAAGAAGTAGTAAGGAACGAGCGTCGGCGTTGCTTACGGAGGCGTGGGTGCCAGTATAGTTGTGGCATCGCTATTAGTTCCTTAGGTTGCTTGATGCTTGCAATGGCCTCCCAATACCGTTGGCAAGGTTGGATAGCGATCCCGCTGTGAAGAGTGCATGATTAGTACTACGTCAATGTTAATATCATTGTTAACAAACTAATGTTAACAAATCGTCATTTGTTAATATTTCTCGGAATTATAGTCGTATGTTCGAGTTTTTCGGTTAGAAGCATTCGTTGAATCCGTTGGCCAATGTTTACCAAACAATGCTTCGCGCGCTCATACCTCTCCCACTTTGTATTCCGCTTAAAACTGTTGTAATCCGTAACAAATACAGTTTCTAAATCCTTAAGTAATCTTGAAAGTTTCCTACGTACTAGTTTAAATATCATAAATAACATAAATTTATACATTGATATCACAAATATATGCTTTTTAATTCTATCTTAATATTTATCAGTAAATAATGCAGAATTTCTTTAATGAGTAAATATAAAAGTACATCTCATAAGATTAATAAAACAAATACTTAAAATAAAATCAAGAATTATATCAGTTCCCTAACGAAAATTTAACTTATACATTAATTATTTTATGTAATAATATTTTTAAAATGTATTCGAAAATTTAAATAAATTAAAACATTACAAATCTTATTTGCTTATATAACATCTTTTAAAATTGTCAATTTATGTATATGTCTTTAGATAAATAAATCACAATACATATTTCTGCATTAGATTTACATCGAAAAAAAAAATTGTAAGATATGTAGCAGTATTTTCACAATAATTACGAATTCAGTATTAAATCATGCTTTAAGTGAGACAGTTGAATATTAATCGATAATTTTATTGATACAATAATTTTGTTCAATTTTTATTATTTGTGTTTGTGTTAATTTGTACTGAATATTATTTCAATAATTAATTAAATAAATTAGATATTAATTTTAATATAATTTATATGAAAAAGAAATTATTGCTCGTACGAAATGTAACGTAAAAAATTCCAAAAACAATAACATTGTAAACGAACGTTTTAAAACACATTTGACTAAATTTAAATATTTTTTAATCAATAAAAATTTCTTTTAATTGAAATTGACTCAATATTTAACAAAATTTCAGATTAATACTAGACTGAGTTTTTGTATTTAATACTGTATAATTATAATACTATTATATTATTATGTCTTAAAAGAATTCATTTAATTTTTTTAATTGAAAAATAGTAAATAGTACGATTGTATTATGTAACTTAACGTAGTATTTTACTTTTATTTTGTTTGTGTTTCAAGTATTAAAATATTGTAAAATATATGTGTATGTATAATAGGGCGATAGCAAGAATGTGGGGATGAAAAGACGCGCGCATCATAGCGGGTTAACTACCTTACATAGAGCAGAATAACATCTGCTTGTAATCGTATAGTTTATAACGAATACTGTTGGCTTTTTAATTATGTATAAATACAAAAAAAAATTATTAATTGTAACTTTTTTAATAACTGTAATTTAATTATGCGTGCATTAACTTTATAAAATAGAAACTTTATAAGTTTAGAATTGTGAAACTTAATATTTTTATCTATAACAATTCAGTTAAAAGTGAAAGCAAAATAATAATTTGAAAATTATGTATTTTTGAAATTTGAAATTTCAGTGCACATTATAAAAATATATTAGTGTTATACTAACCTATACAAAATTGTTTTAGTAAATAGTTACTTTATTATACTGTTTAAAGAATATTATATTTAATAAAATGAATGATTAATAACTTTAAAATAATAAGTTCATTACTAATGACTATTATTAACTTAAAAAGCTATTACACTTATTTAATAATACATATCCACTTTATTTATATAATAATGTAACTATGTAATTGAAATTTAATATCCGAAGCTTTTATTTTATTCTAACAAAATTTTAAATGAAACAAAACGTTAAATGTTTTGTAAAAATACAAAATATTTCATTAAAACGAAAATCAGCCATTTTGGTGGTTGTTCTCATCTGCAGGGAAAGAAAACGTTAAACACTTGACTGGTCGAAGCAAAAATTTAGACATAAAAAGATATAATATAGATACGATAAGTTGTGGAATAATAATTGTTTTAGATTTTAGGGATACAATAATAAAAAGCAATAAAGATCGGGAGGGGGATTAACCCCCTCTCTTAATAGCCACGAAACGTCAAGATTTCCCGTATAGAGTTCATCGAAAAATGGGGGCTAACCCCTGTCCTCAAGCCGAGGCAGGATTTACGCCCCCACCGAAACGGTGCAGAAGATTGTGGAGATTTGAGGTGCTGAAAAATAAATAAATAATATTAAAGTACCATAAGTACGATCCATTATATTGTATTATATGTATGTTTAATATGTATAAGATACTATTGATATACAGAGTACATAAAACAGCCTATAAAATTCATGTAATTATGTAATGCATATAAAATTAATGCATATACAATGAAATAATTATTTTATTTTTAAAATTTAGATAAATAATAAACTGTATTCAAATTAAGTTTAAATACTTCATTGACATGAGTAATAAGATATATACTTAGATTAAATCATATAATATAATTAAATAAAGATATATCTTATTGAAGAAATAAATTTGCATGCAAATTTTTTTAAATGATTCTAAGTTTAATTGTTTTTTCATAATAAAATTAAAAATTTTATATATTATTATATTATGTATATTTTTTTATAGTCTATACACTTTCTGAAATTTTCTCTAAAATAAAAGTATGAAATATTGTATATCTAATTTTCAAAAAAAAATGAAATCAGTATAATTTACATATAAATAGATATTATATCTATTTATAAAATTAAACTAATTAAACTAATATAAAAATTTGCTTATACTTTTATACAAAGTATCATGTAAAAAATATAAAATTTTAATAAATTTAGATTTTATAAATATTATATCCTTTTTTTTGAAAAACTAAAATTTAAAAAGATGACGATTAAATTAGCAAATAATTCTTAAAAACATTTTTACCCAAAAAGCAATATATATTATATATAATTCGTTAATATTATATAACAATTATATATATAATGTTTGTAATAACTATAATTATACATATAACTGATTCAAGAAATTAGATTAAACAATTTCATCCAAGCTTCCATCGTTTATAATTACTATATAACTATTCAAACAATCGAACTTCGTAATTAAATTTGGTACTTCATAAATTGGATTAATTTTTTCATAAGTTTCGTTTTAAATTGTTTCATAACCTTTAATATACATTATTGAACGGAAAATATCAGTTACTGTTTATCGCTGTCATTGGCAACCTAGTTGATATCTTTTATGATTTTGTATCCTTTAAAAATTTATAAAATAAAGTTGTTAATTTTTCATTTTTATCTGCAAAATTATTAATTCAATTAATCATTAATCTACGATACTGCTAAATCTACCTTTTATTTTAATCTTTGATAATATTTTAGACATTTTTCTTTAGATTTAAAAATTCAATTTTAAATTTAAACAATACCATTGTATTTTTATAATTTGTTATAAATATTTATTCAAGATATACTATCTATGATTTATGAATGTTAGTAAATTTTTGGAACTTATCTTTTTTTATAGGCACTCGCCTATTCTTTATTAACATTCTTTTATATGCTATAATTGAAATATTTACAAATTTTGTGATATTTAAATTGTAAAATTATTTTATATGATTTTTTTTCTTTATCATTAAAAATGAGATACCGTCTGATATTTTAAAAACATTTTTAGTTTGAAAGATTTATATCTGATAGAGATTTTCCAGAATATTTAATCATTAAATCAACGTTCTTAAATGAACCTTAGAATATACTTAATAAAAACCATTCAAAATCACTACTCTTTAAATTATTTTTCTCGTTAAATTTATTGTACTACATAAATTAACGTTAAATTTTAACGAATGAATACATTATTCAATTATTAATAAAAAAAAATTTTTACATTATATTAATATAACATATTATAATAAAGAACTTTTAATTATTTATCTAAAGACTTAACATACATTGATATACATTAAAGAATCGCAAGAAAATCAATTTATTAACTAAAAATATATTTAAAAGTTTTAATTGTGAATATATATTTTATATTATTTAGATTATTGAATACCGAGGGTTAGATTAGAAAATTATTTTCAAAATTTGATAACTTTAGTTTTATGTTCCTTTGAATACTATACCATTCAAAGAACATGGAATTTTATTTTTACTTTAAATCTAAAATTGTAGCATTATAAAATTTATAGTTCTTTATATGTTTAATTTTTAAATTATTATTTGTTTATGTAATGATTAAAGAATTCAAATATAAAAAGTATGTATTCTATATACGGACTTGAACACGAATAGTATCTAAAAATAATAAAGACATTAGTATAATCCTTTTCAAAAATTATAATACGTTTAATTTCTGATATTAAAATACTATGAAATTACATAGTTTTTATAATAATTATTACAATATGTATCCTTAATGATTAACCAATATAAATAAATTATTTAATAAATTATTTACCACTATATTTGAATAATTATATGTTACGAATTGAAACAGTTGAAAGCGGAATAGAAAAGTGGAAGAGACATGAGCTCCCGGACAGTTTGTTTATAAACACAAGTCCTCGAATTCGAAAAATGTTTCTACGCTGAAAACTCGAATATACGGTTATAATTCCAAAAAATAATGTCAATGAACCTTCCAAGGCTATGCCCTAATGACGTCACGACAAATATAGGCATAGCAACAGACACTGGATCGCTACCGGCGCCTAAAACTACCACGAAAATATTTAAGGGCTGCACTTCCCGCGCAGCGCTGATTTTCAGTCTAGTCTAGTAACAATTACGCAGTTAACACGATAGGCTCACTATTCAATCTTCTCTCTACAGTTATCACTTACTGTAGCGTACTGTACTGTATGTAATACTCAAACAATAAACACTGTAACAATACAATAGTGAAGCCACATTATCAGAATCCATTAATTAAGCTTAAACGAATAACGCACTAGAGCTAACATAATCGAGAGTGAAAATTATCGGATCATACTACATATGCTAACGGATCACACCGACACTAAGATAGCAGCAAAGCGGTCCCCTTTAGAAAGTTTCGATACGACAGCGGCAGCTCTTACGCACCTATACTAAAGCAGCAACGACCCGGTATCGCTTAGACGACTTCGGTACGTCAGCGGCGGCTCTCACGCATATTACTGCAGCGGCATTTCTCGGCAAGGAAGGAGTCACTCCTCATACCAAGGAGAGTATACACACTCTCCTCAGCACGTAACACAATTGAAGAGTTTCCCCAATTTATTCATTCACATCCTTATTCATACGCTTATGATCATTAACTATTTATTATATTATTATATTTAATAAAGGAAAGATAAGAAAGACTGCTTGTAGTATTGAATAATTGCATTTCCCCTTCTACTTGTCAGCAACTCCTGCACCCACCATCAAAGAGAGGGTTTTTAGTCTGATCCCAGACAATTTGGTCCTTCGAGCCGGATAAGTGGAAGTCAGTGTATTCGTTCAATACTACTACATCGAACAAAACAGGCATAGTAAAAAACATTTGCAAGCAGACAATCAATCACAATTCAAGAAGGTTTCTTCAATACTGTAAGTACGCTACCATTGTACTCATTATAACAAAATGTCAACCCAAGACAGAAAGGAAATAAAGGAACCGTTGAGTGCTAATGCATCCACGGCCCACGAACGCACTACTCGTAGCACAACCAAGGACAAACTAACAGGCGAACAATTACTAAAGACCCATACACAGTGGACACGTATTGCCACAATCAGAACACTAATTAACAGTGTCTGCGCAGAGCGCAAAGACATCAGGTTGATGAAGTACTAGCAATGAGAAAATCCATTGATGTTATACACAATAAGTTCATGATGTAACACAGCTGCATAGAGGCCATCTGGCCACCATCAGGTATCACTCACGACTATTTTACAAAAAATGCCGTTTTAGAAGAAGCCATCTGTCATGCCAATGCAACAGCGGTGATCATGAAGTTGTGCCATGATTTAAGCGATTCGACACAACCAAATCAAACTACCAATACTGAGGATAAGACACGCCCAGGAGAATCACGAGAAATAACGTGTCTTCCTGACGTACCAATTCCAAAATTTAACGGCGACTATTTAGCATGGCCCATATTTAAGGACCTATTTCAATCACTAATTCTCCAATGTAAGAAATTAAATAACGTGCAAAAATTACACTACCTGCGCAGCTGCATAGAAGGATCAGCAGTAAGAATAATATCATATCGCTGCAGAACACTTCACTAGTCTCAGCCTGGAACAAACTGATGGAAAAATATAATTCTCCCCGACTAGCATTGAAATTGCTCATAAGACAAACCATCACAATCTCGTCGAGGACTATAAAATCGGCTACAGATTTAGATTAATGAATTAATGAATAGAAAAATTAATGAGCAGACTAAGTAATTTACTGAATAATCATACACCAGTATGACATCCCAGATGCATGGGACACTAATGGTACACGTGACATTAATGCAAGTCGACGATCAAACAAAAACTGAATGGGAACGATCACTAGGGAGGGGAAAATACTGCATACCTATGATTCGCACAACTAAGAACATTCATACTGACCCAAGTAGAAGCACTAGAAAACGTCATTGAAATGAGAGATCGAGAAACTCACCCTCAATTCCACACTTCAAACAAGAAATTCGTAAGAATATGTCAGCCATCAGCGGCGAATAAGAAGGGAAGAAGGCATTGGAAACCCAATCAACTTCAAACATTATATAAAAATTAAAAGAATAAAATATTACTCATTATCGAATTAGTTATGTATAGAATAAGACACATTATTTGTAACTTCATTCAGCTAATAAATGATAATACTCCTAATGCACTATAATTTTTCGTACAAAAATGTAAATAAAGAATGAAAAATTTAAGAAGTAATTATTTTACTTAATAATCCAGCATTTTTACTTCATATCTATACTATCTTTCTATAAAATCTATTAATTATTTAATAATTTCAATATTATCAATATAATTTTAATGTTTATTATTAATTTTAAATAACTTGACTTATTAATACTGAAATTCATTATACTTTATGTTATCTTTAATCGCAAATAAAATAATTTAACTACGAGATGGACCGTCAATTAGTTTCAATACATTATGCTACAATTAAATAAAATAAGAAATATAGATTTACTTAAAAAAG